ATTCTTCATTAAAAAAATATCTGTTTATAAACTACAAACAAAATTTTATAATTAAAACCGAAAATAATATAACTTTTAATGTTTAATTAAAAATTATTTTAATTTTTAATTTAATTTTAAATAAAAAATTTATTTTATTTTATTAATTTATTTTTAAAAAAATAATCCTTATATTAAAACGGAAGGTAATATATTATATTAATTAATATTAGCATAATTTTTTTAAACTCTTTTTCATTGATTTTTTTTACATTTATAAATCATTTCTTTTTTTCCAACAGAAAATAATATGCATAAAATTAAAAAATACTATTAATAATTTATAAATGACTTATATTTAAGGTCAATTTTTTTATACTAATAACTGATAGTAGAGACGGATGCGATAGGAGGTTACCGTTTCAATCATGCCTCAAACTTTAGCTACTTGTCGGTCTAAATCTTTTTATAAAAATGTCAACATGAATTATCATATTTATATAATATAAATATATTATTCGTAAATTATAAATATTGTATAATAACATTATACTATCTTCAGTTATTAATATAAGAGCTAGTTAGTTAATTTGAATACACTAAATAAATTAGTCAAGTTAGTTATTTATAATAAATATGCACTGTTTTCTCCAAAGTACTATTGCTAATAATATGTATCAGCTAGAACTGTTATTGGATTAAATATTTAACGTTTATAACTTTTATAAGGACTATTAAAAAAAATAAATAAATATAAGAGACAGTTTGAATTGAGATCTTGTATTTAGAACAAAATTGAAAGTAAAACTAAATTAGGGATTGAAAGTTCAACTAATTTTTATACTAAAGATAAAAAATAATAGCATTTATGACTTATAAATAATTATAAGGAGATGTGTGTGTGGCCGCTTTAAATCATATTTATAAAAAATACTGATGCAAAAGAAAATCAACATTTCTTATTAACATCGAAAAGGAAATAACACTCTGAAGTTCTGTTTTAATATTACGTGGTCATTACTCATTACGACTTACCGTCATATGAACATTAAACCGGTAAATATATTCATGTCCATATTTTGATTTTATTTTCATTTAAAAGTATTAAATTATTTATCAAATCTTCTGCTCTGCAAATCAAATCCATGGAAGCATGCACAATGGTCAGAATATCTGACGGTTATTTTACTCTATAAATATTTGTCTCATCTAAAGCTGTCATTTGCATGCTGCCTCATTCAGTAGCTATTTAACAGTCGAGAGTTCAAAATAATTTGATGGTTATTTAACAGCTATATATCGAGTAGAAATCCTTCAAATGTCCCGGGTACTTTGAAAACGAGGGTATTATTTGATGGTTGTGGCAGAATACCGTCAATTTTGGTTTGAAACTTTCATGATTGACATAGATAATTGTCAAATTGTGCCAAAAAAAAAAAAGGACAACTTGCTTTTCAGGTAGCGCCTTGCAATATTATATTACCAGTTTCATCCAGACCAGAAATCGGAATCTGTTTTGTGTGGTACAGCAACTGATTAATGCACCTAGTAATCGATCTCAATTCATCCCAAAAGTGGCAAAGGTACATGAGTTCATTTTTTTACTACAAAAACAACAAAATTCTACTGTTCAAAATAGACAGCACAGGATATGGATATCACACTTCCTCTAGTCCTTAAATCAATGTAAAAACTACCTAATTGATTTAAATGGTTAAAAAAATCAAATAAATTAGTTATAGAAATGCAGCACAACTCCCTTGAAATACTCATGCATACCATTAAAATTATATATAATTTATAAGTTAGATAAATTAGCTTGAGAAATAATGATGAATATGATTGATAAAATAAAGGGTTAATAAAATTTTTAGTCTCTTAAGTTCACTCTCATGCTGGTTTCATTCCTCAAATTTTCAATTATAGATTTTAGTTCATTAAATTTCTTTTCATTTAAAACACTAGTTCCTATGATTCAATAAAAACATAAACAATTTGGTTCTTAAATAGACAAAAACCTATGATTTAAAATTTAAAAGACTAAAACTAAAATTAAAAAAAATTCAAGGGACTAAAAATTATATTAGCTTTAAAATAAATTAAGGGTCTATATTCAAATCAAATCAAACTACAAAAATAGTTTTTTTATGCCGTGGATTGACAAAAAAGGGAGGGGATTTTTGTTTTGGGGAGGCTCGGAAGCGGAAATGAAAGGATGACGTAAGATGAAGGGTGATGTGAGGAACGTGGGAGGAGGAGAGAAACCCTAAACCCGGGTTGGACAACTTGGGCTGGGGACGCAGGGGCGGATGTATGAATGGATGGATGTGCAAATGCCTTCCATGCATCATGCGATGCGACGCCGTGACATGCATCGGCATTTGGGTCACGTGCCCCGACGGTAAAAGAAAACGCATAACGGCCGTTTAAACGCAGCCCATCCATCCTCCCCCTCCCCCTGCCTCCCTTCAAAAGCAGATTCTCTCTCACATCACCCCTATTATTTTTTATTTATTTATAATCTTAATAATTCTAATTTAGCTCAACCATGCATAATTCAGTCAACAAATATTCACGGTGAAATACGAACAAACAATTAGATTCATGCTTAAATAGCCAAACTTTTAAAAATCAGTACTACCTCCGGATCCTAATTATAAGACCCAATTGACTTATTGAGGAGATTAAGGAAGTAAGTTAAGTTAGTTATTTGTAATAAATAAGTGTTGTCATTCCTAAATATCCTTACTAATTAAGTGTATTGGCTAAAACTATCATTATTAGAAGGACTATCTTGGAAAAAAATACATAAATATGATAGATAAAATGGATTGGGGTCTTATAATTAGGACCAAATAAAAAGTCAAACAAGGTCTTATATTAAAGACCGGAGGTAGTATTGCGCAGTCAAACATCACCCGTAGTGGATGAAATATGAGCAGAGGATTAGGATTCAGATTCTCCTCATAAGACAGGCAAAGGAACCAAAAAGAAGAAATTTAATACCATAAAACCAACAACGAAAAAGAATATATTTGGCACGAGGAAATTGAAGGGGAGAAAATTTTTTGATGAGCTTAGTTTAAAAAATTAGAGAAACGAGATTATAAAATTTTGATAAAGAGAAGATGGAAGATAAAAGAGTAAGCAAAATTAATCAAAAGCTCTTAACCCCACATCTTTGATTTTTTTAATGAGAGCTCATTAAAATTTCTTACTTTCTTTTCATTTCTCCTGGTCCCGAACCAGAGCATTTGATCTTAACTCATAATGTTAAGTATTTATTTATGCCTAAATAACGAGCTTGAATTTTCATAATTAAATATAATCACAAACTCGTTCTGATACACAAACAAGATAAGAGATTTTGTTATAGAGAATTAAGGTTTAAGACATAGAAATTAAAAGTTTAAAACATTCAGATTAATTTTTTAAGAGTGATTTGACGGAGTTTGCAATAAACATGTGAAATTTTTTTATCTAAATTTACATAAAAATACTTTTTAAAATGTTTCAGAAGGGTGTTGCACAAAACAGGGTGAACCTCTTTGGCCAAAAAAAAAAAACAGGGTGAACCTCAAAAAAAAAAAAGGAAGTAAAAGAGGCGTGATCCACGTGGAAGGCTCACGTTAGTTTTGTTATTAAATAATTACTTTTAATTCTAAATAGTATTGTATAGGGGTATTATGGGAAGATGGTATTATATTTATTAAAATTAGGTAATTTATTTAATTTTTTTAACATGATCAAATTAATTAATTAGGAAATTAAAAAGAGGAGGAGCATTATATGGCCACTTTCAATACTACGTGGGTCGGGGGGAGGGGCCCTGTGCTTGGGGGTTCAATTTCAGCTCTGGCACAGCTTGCTGCCAAAGCCTCCGTCTCCGCAGATGAACAATTGTTTCCTTCCAGCGCCTACTTTTGTTCCTTCCATGGGTTATTCAATCGAAATTGGATTTTTACTCTTTATAAGCAAAATCAAACTCACAATCTTCTACTTGAACGAAGCTTTTATGCCAAGAGATGACAATTTAGGAGAACAGGGTTGACGAATGTCTTGGTAATTCAATGGGTTAAGCGCGGTGGTGAGGGCGGAGACAACAGCTGTGCCCAGGCCAGCCCACGCCTTGTCTCCCATTCTGATGATCTGATCTGTGCTCGAAGCTTCCAAGGCCTTTCTTGTGAATTCAAACCCAACCCTGAAGCTTGATGCAGCCAAGCCAAGCCAAGCTCTGAACCAACCTACTACTTTGTTTCTGCACCGGCTGGGTTCTCTGCTTTTCCACCTTCGTTAGGGAATTATCTACACACACGCGCGCGCGCGCGTGTGTGTGTGCATGAAGCTTTCCTCCAACAAAAACAATAGGCATGCTTCCTTTTTATTATATTGCCTCCTGTTTGTGTTATTTGTGTATTTTTGTTGTGTATCATATTCTTTAAATTATATGTATATTGACAGTATACGTGCAGCTTCATCTTTTCTCTCATCTATTGCAAGTTTCCGTCAGCAGAATTCATATAATCAATGATGGTATTATTATCCATGAATCTGATTCTTAAAACTAGCTTATTTTGTTGGCCGCTGTTGCCTTACTACCGGACACTGTAAATTATGCGGCCAACTTGTTATTGGAACACCTCCGGAATATATTGATACATATATAAAAGAAATTAAAAATGCAATAAACTCAAAAATTTATAGTACGATCTTGAAAAAAATTATTTATATTGAAAAATATATGTAATATTCATGGGGCGCTGTTATTTAAAAATCTCCGCTAAAACAAACAGATACTAGGAGACACACCGCTAGTGTTTGAACAGGGCAGTGAACATTGTCAAACTATACTTGCAGCTCTCTCTAATGTGGAACGAGGAAGAATTATTATAGCGGGTAAAAACGAAGAGCCTTGAACAAAAATTATATCACTACAAGTAGCAAAAGACAAAATACACAACATGGGCACGTCCCTCCTCATTAAACAAAACCCATTAATCATTAATTAGTTAGTTAACTAACTAACTAGCATTAGATTGCTTCTCTTGTGGGGGCTTTGGATTTGCTTCGCCCATTTCCAGAGCTTCCTCCTCTGTTTTAGGTGTCCCTCTGTTTTCACGGTACACAGAATACAATATTAGCTGCATTGCCCCCAGAGCCGTACCCACACCATTCGGCGCCTGCAAAATCACTCACTCTTGTTACCCACAGCACAACGATTTCTATAGCTCGCCAATTCTTAACCAAATTAAATCAGATATATGCAGCTTTTGACTCCACTTACTGCAACAAAGGGGTCACGACCCAGCAGACCAAACGCAAAGAATGAAACAGCACACAGAAACATAAAGAGCGACAGAAAGAACGGCATGAACTCCACGCTCTTTGTTCTGATCACCAGTCTCTGCGTATGCCATATTAATTTCAGTACGTTCAGTTAAACTGAAAGTTTGATGCAACGAAGAAAGTGGAATCCGACTTTGGCCTACCATGATTGAGAGGGGTGAACTGTACATGATAATGGAGAATATAGATGCCAGGAGGCCACAGAAGAGTTTTCTGGGATAGTGGTGCAGGACGAAGAGAGACACGACGACGACGAGGAGAAATACTATGAGCACGAAGGTTAAGAGTCCGATGATTTTAAACCTTTCTTTCTTGGGTGCCAACGTGATAAAGATCAGAACGTATATGATCTCGATTCCTGTTCCAAAGCCATTGATGGTAGACACTAGTAAATTGTTGGGGGATACAAACGGCAACCCATACCTGAAGATTTAAACACCAAAAAAACCACATGTGATTAAACATGCTTACTATTGCAGGAATGAACTCATCTAGCCTCTCCTTTTTCCATGTAAACCAGTTTTGATAAAGATTAAGAAGAAAAAAAATGCAACGGTCGGAAAGAAGATAGCGACGTAGTCTTCCATGACAAGATTTAGGAACTGAGTGCGAAAAATCAACTACCCATTTAGTCCCCCTAATTGAACAACAGGACAAGAAAAGATTTATCATTACCATTGCGTAGCACTTTTGTTTTGTGATCTTATGGATGCGAAAAGTACTTTAAATGAAAGCACACGATGCATATGCTAGGATGAGGAATTTCACGAAGGTGGAGCCGAGTAATGGTGACGGACGAAATCGCAACAAAAAAGTAAGCGAAAGTACACTTGATTTAATAGAGGCATTAACGGGAAAACAGACAATGCAGTCACTTATTATTCATTTATTTCAGCCATTTCAATTCCACAAAGAATGCAGGAAGACTAAGCGGAGGAGTAGAAACTGAAGCAGAAAAGAGAAGAAGAAGAAGAAGAAGAAGAAAACAGAGAGTATAACAAAGATGACTAAAAGGGAGTTTGAAGAGAGCAAGAGGTCAGTTACCAGGCAGAGAGGAGGCAGTTAAGTAGTGTCATGACATAAGGAATGCCGGAGAAGTTTTCTGTGGATTTGTTCTTTATAATTCTGGAGAATGTAATCCTACAAACAAAGCCGAAATTCTCAGAGTATGATCACTCAGAATTGGCTGTATAATGAAATTAAGTTGAAAGAAAAGTGGGGGTTGAAGAGAGAGAAGAGAGGGAAAGAGGCAGTTATGAGATGCGTACGCTGGAGACAAGAAGAGCAGCAAAGCAAAAGCATTTCCTGCAACAACAACCAGAAGAAGAAGAAATGATAAGCGGAGGAATCAGAGAACGAGATAAAATTGTTTGTGTGTGTGTGAGAGAGGTTAAGATCGAAGGAGAAAACGCACCAAAAATGCCAAACATGAAATGGGCAACACTTTCCATGGTGAAGAGAATATGCAGAGGGAGAAGCAGAGTGCAGAAGGATACATGGAACGAGAGGCGGGCAAGGGAGATTATATATAGGAGAGATGCCCACACCCTGCATGTAATAACTGTATCTGCAATTAAAAAGTATAGACTTTTGCCTTTTCTTTCCTTTTTTTTTTTTTTTAAGTTGCCCGAGTCGTAATTGTATCTAAACCGGCAAAAGTTTGAAGTCTGGCTAGAACTCAGTGGATTTTTTAAGAGAAAAGGTGCGCGTCAAATAGCATGGGGGAATTTTTAGTGACGCTCAAGGTCGCGGGTTCGGAGGATTCTCACGGAACATCGAACGGGGCTGTCCTATGCAAGTTTGACCGGTGGGATATATTCACACGACGTATGATCACTTTATTATATGAAATCTTAACTTTTGTAAAATGCAAACATTTCGAATCTTAATTAATTATGTATTGCCCGGATTCCATTTCAAGATTACGATATGATTAGACGTCTACTACTTGTCTAAGCTACCATTTCCATAATATTTACAACTTTGTCTTTTTTTATTGGAATTTAGAAGTTAAAAAAAAATACTCAACTATGTAGACTCTCTGTATATATGGGTTTGGAGAATGAAGGGAGTCATGTCTAAAATCGGAATTTGCCAAATTAAATATGCATATATACGTAAATACGCACGGTGCATATATAAAAAAATTATCAAGTCATGTTGTCTCTGGAGAATTAAACAACATGGTTAATTACTTATATTTCATTGAATGCATCGCACTATATTGAGTTTTGAATTATACGCACATCTTAACTAACCTGTACAATCAAATCTTATTATTTTATTAGAGCCTCCATGTCTATCTAATGAAAAGGTCCTCCCAGTGAAGAATATAAAAAGCGAGAAGGATGCAGTAAGAAGTCACACATGTAGAAGCAACATTAGGCGGCATCAAATTGAACAAGCCAAGATTTTGTCCAGTTTGCAGTCATTATATAAAGGCAGCAAAAGGGTCTAACTTATGGCACATCATTGGAAGTTTGGAAGCGGACAAGGCAGCGTTTTGTAAATCTTTTTTGTTGGTTTCATGGGGTGGTCTCACGAGGAAGTTGGGATATCAGCGAAAATTATTGGGCATTAAAGAAGGCCCTAATTTTCTAAAAGTTAGGTGTTCTGGGAGTTCATGAAAGCTGTTTTTTTTTTTTTTAACCTGAGTTCATGAAAGCTGTTGACAACATGAAGAAAATCCAAAATAGATCACACCCAACTCTGGAATCTCTAAAGATGTAAGAGGACTGCCAGTGTGTAAGATTGTTAGATCTCTTTATGATCACGCTTACAGAAAAGCTGATACTTGTACTGACTTGGTTGGGCATTGGTCAAGCAACATTACGGATTTACCACCAGAACTCAAGAGTTACTGCACATTTTACTGTGCTCCATGCAACTATTTTCATTCCTGTTATACTTCCCCCCCGCTCCTTGATATATAAGCCTTCGTCTTATTTTATTTTCGTTTTAAATACAAGATTTAATTTAATTTAATTTTTATATTTATATAATTTTTTCAGGATAGTTTTTCTAATAATAGTAGTTCTAGCCAATATACTTTATTAGTAAAAGTATTTTAGGAAAGATAACATTTATTTATTATAAATAATTAGCTTAATTTATTCTCTTAATTTACTCAAATTAATTAACTAGTTTTTATATTTAAGACGAAAGATAGTGTTTTCTTACTCATTTTAAGAGAATTCACATGGAGGAAAAATTCAATCTTTCAAAAAGTTTTAAATTAATTCCTATATGTGGAAGTTTCAATAACTGATCAAACAAATAATATAAAAGCTATGAAAACCATGTCATGGTTAACATGAAGATTACTCAACAAGAGTTGGTCTAGTTATAAAGAAGTCGACTCATAACTCATAAGGTCGTGAGTTTCAATTCTGTTGCCGATATGAGGATCTTGTTGGTAAGTGATTTGTATATAATTTTTTTGTATTTAAAAAAAAAAAAAGAGATAGAGATCGCTGAAATTTCGCGTGCTTGGGGCTTATAAAAGTCTGTATTTCGATAACTATCCGGAAGTGACAACAGTATAAATAAATCCATGATATTATTTCACAAATTATTTTCACTTATGGAAATTGAATTAAAATAAAGAAAGGGTATAAAACCACATAATAAGGCATGCATGAGTTGCGTGCATGATGCCATGTCCTTGGAGTCGGAACACACTTGTCAAATTATTGAGTTAGGCTCATTGGCCCCTCCAGGAATTTGCGTTAGGTTCATTGTGGCTGGCTGGATCACAGTATCCTAGTTAGGCTCATTGGCCCCTCCACTCTAAGAATTTGACAGGCAGAACGTTTTTATCAACTTTTTCCTCAGAATTTATAATTTGCACTGTCTTTCTATTTAATTTATACTCGTAATAATTTTGGCGTTAGGTCTTTATACAAATAAATACGCATGTACTAAGAATGCTGTTTCAGGTGCAGGGGAAACAATATGATTCATAATCAGTAGAAAGAAACCATGATAGCCACTTTTTATTTCCATAAGTGAAAATAGTTCTGTCATCATGGGCTCCTGTTCAGAGGGACTGCATCATTCTATCCCCTCCAGTAGGAGGGTCCATCCCTTCATCTATACCTAAAATTCTACTGATTAATTAACAAGTGCAGCATAAAAGATGGACATCAAGTTGGTGGACTGTGCCAACTCACGGAACTTGTGTCTGCTTGTACCTTAATCTTGGCCTTCCGAGCTGGGTAAAGTGCTCTTTAATGAGCACTCATCAAAGGAAATCTGCAGAAGTGTATATGACTAATTTGCTTAGACCCTTCCCCACGTTCCTGTGTTGCTCCATTTGAATAAGCTGCCATTGAGCAATTATTACCAACATTTATCAATACCTTATCGTAATCACCGACATTCATTGAAATGGCTAACTGTTTGACTTTCAGCTAAATATTTCTGAATTTAAATGGCTAAATATTTGACCATGATGCCAAGAGATTCCACCTCAACCATCATCTCAAGCACCAGAAATAACCATGCTCTCCATTAACAGCAATTGGCTCTTAAAGCCAACGTGACGGAAAAGCAATTGACCTTACCATAGATACTACCCTAAGCCATAGCAGCCTCCATTCCTCATGGCGATACACTTGAGGAAAAAGTTCCCCACTTGTAAGAATGTTGGTGTCCTCTTATATCGTTTGTGGTAATAATTATTAGTTAAGTCCCTGTTTGGTGGAAAAGTATCTGTGCCAGATAGAGATTGCGAACGAATTGAGAATTATTGCTACAGAATTAGCCCTACATGACGTATCATTCCATTCTGAACCATTCATTTTTCATCCTCTCAGAACTTCCCAACATAGCTTTATTCTTACGGGACTATCAAGTGTGAATAATATAATCTGTCTAACATGTTAAAATACCTGCTCCTCCCGTCAGCTATACGTATAGTGTGATAATCATGAAATGGACAAAGAACCATATCAGAACGCCGAAACGCATGATGCTCTTTTTCTTTTTTTTGGGGGGGGGGGGGAGGATGATGGTAACTGGTAAAAATGGAGCAGTTTGAATATTAAACCTGAGCTTACCCCCTCTTGGCAACTTCGTATTGATAACCAGTTTTGTTAGTGTTAGAGAATAATTAGGAATTACGGTTTATTATGATATTGTATATCTTTGTATATCTTGTACAGTTGTGATTGCCGTATATCTCGCTCCGTTTATCATGCTAACAGATTATAGTTAGCTGATTATTCTCTCCGCTTTGTAACGTTCATCCCTCGGCCAATCTATTAATACAGACCTGGGCATCAGAGTTCTGCATGCCGTCATCTCATTCTCATAGCCTATTTTAATATTAACACCTCAAATTTGTCTTGGTATCAGAGCCAGGCAGGATGTCGGCTGTTTCTTCCACTCACGATGCAGGTTCCTCGTCACAGCCCACCAAAACTTATACTCTCTTCAGCTCCTCTGCCCAAACAACTGCGATCAAGTTGGATCGCAATAATTATCTTGTATGGGAGTCGGTGGTCCTCCCTCTTATAGAAGGCAATCGGTTGGAGTCCCACATCAATGGCTTACAGACCCCGCCACCTCGAATGGTTTCTGATGAAGCAGGAACTCGGCCAAATCCAGCATATGATGACTGGTACTCAATCGATCGGCTTCTTGTCGGCTGGTTACGAAACACAATGGCCCAAGATATTGGTGCCCAACTCCTTCACTGTCGCACTGCAGAGGAGCTGTGGGCTGGAGCTCGCGAACTCACCAGTGCCTCGACCAAGGCACGCATCATGATATTCAAAACAGAGTTACATAATACTCGCAAAAATGACATGAAAATGGCAGACTATCTTGCTAAGATGAAGAATATTGCCGACCAACTTGCTCTAGCTGGAGCACCAATTGCTGCAGATGACTTGATACTTCACACCTTAAATGGCTTAGATGGTGAATACAACCCAATCGTGGTTAAGCTGTCTGACCAATATGACCTCTCATGGGTCGAAGCTCAGTCGTCCCTCCTTGCTTTTGAAGGCCGTCTCGATCAGCTCAATCATCTCGCTTCACTTTCAATTCAACCATCTGCCAACGTTGCAGCTCACCAAAATACTGACCATAATGCTGACTCTCGTGGCCACACTCATGGTGGTCGAAGTTCCCGTGGTAGTCGAGGACGTGGAGGTCGCCGAGGAGGTCGTGCTTGGGACAGCAACAGTAGTCGTCCCTTTTGTGACTTATGCAAACGTAATGGTCACAAAGTGGCTGATTGTTATCGCCGCTTTGATCGCTCCTTCCAACCTCCGAGTCATGCACGTAGTTTTGCTGGGTACCCACCTCAAACCTTCTATGCTTCCTCTGACACTGTAACGGATCCCTCCTGGTATATGGACAGCGGTGCAAACTATCATGTCACTCCTCACTCTGAGCAACTCGAACACATCACTCCAGTAGGTACGTCACATCTCGTCACCTGCTCAGGTGAGAAAAATCCTGTTGTTGGTATTGGTAATGCCTTGGTTCCCTGTTCTCAGTCAAAACTCTTGCTCAAAAATGTTTTGCTTGTACCCTCTGCTACTAAGAACCTCATGAGTGTAAACAGATTAATTGAAGACAATGGTGTTAATGTTCATTTTTCTGATTCGGGTTGCGTTGTGAAGGACAAGAAGACAGATCAGTTACTGATGCGAGGAGCTCCCAGGCAAGGCCTTTATCCAATGGCAAATAAAGGCCGCACACCTCAAGCACAAATGACGAACTACACATCTAATGCAGAGGATGACTTCATTCGGTGGCATCACTCCTTAGGACACCCCAGCAATAAAGTCTTGAAAGACATCTTGAATAAGTGTAGTGTGAGTGTTCATATAAATGATAAACACGTGTGTGAGGCTTGCCAGTATGGTAAATCAAAATTATTGCCATTTCCTAATTCAACTTCCCATGATTCTTCTCCTCTTGCACTAGTTCATACAGATTTGTGGGGCCCAGCCCCGGTTCAATCTTCACATGGGTTCCGTTATTACATTCATTTTATTGATGATTTTAGTCGTTATACATGGATGTATCCTTTAAAACATAAGGGTGAAGCAATCACTGCGTTCAATCATTTTCGCGCCTTTGCTGAGAACCAGTTTAATACTAAAGTCAAGGTTGTGCAATGTGACAATGGAACTGAATACAAACCGTTTATTCCTGTGGCGCATAAAGAAGGAATACAACTTCGTTTCACCTGTCCATATACGTCTCCTCAAAATGGGAGAGCTAAAAGGAAGCACCGTCATATTGTTGAAACAGGTCTGACACTGCTTGCACAAGCACACATGCCCCTTAGCTACTGGGTTGATGCGTTTCACATGGCCGTTTATTTGATTAATCGCCTGCCAACACCAGTGCTTGATGGACAAACACCTTTGTTCAGGTTGTATAACACTGAGCCTGATTACAAACTTCTACAGCCATTTGGGTGTGCCTGTTATCCTTGTCTCAAGCCCTATAATGAACACAAGTTCCAGTATCACAGTCAAAAATGCGTGTATATTGGTCCAGCCTCCAACCAAAAAGGACACAAATGCCTGAGTGCGTCTGGAAAAATTTTTGTCTCTCGGCATGTGGTTTTTGACCCATCTGTGTTTCCCTTTGCTACAGGTTTCTTAAATCGACGGACTGGGACTCATAATGCTACTAGTACAGTTCCAATTCTAATATCGCCTGGGTTTCAGTCCTCAAGTGAGTCCACCACACGCTTAGAAGAGGCACATCACAGTGACCCAGGTACATCAGCTCCTCTAAGTCCAGAAACACGTGTAGGGTCTACAATCAATGAGTCCACCAGTGTCGCTGTCAGTGCAAGTCCAAGTTACACCGGCCCACATGAGTCCGATCCACAAAGGCAGCCCACTGAGGCTTCTAACATTGCGCCTGTGCACATGAACACACACCCCATGATTACGAGAGCTAAAGATGGGATCCACAAGCCTCGGTATCCATTCATTGGGCTCCTACACTCAGAGGACCCACAATCATTGTCCGTTATCGCTGAACCTACTAGCACTCAAGCAGCCCTAGCCTCGCCATATTGGAAAAATGCCATGAACGAAGAATTTCAAGCTCTTTGCCGCAACCACACCTGGGTTCTAGTGCCCTATGCTAAACAAAAGCTTGTTGATTGTCGTTGGGTGTTTAAAAACAAGTTCAAACCAGATGGCTCAATTCTCAAACCAAAGGCTCGACTGGTAGCCAAGGGTTTTCAACAGACGCCCGGTGTCGACTTCAGCGAGACATTCAGTCCAGTCATCAAACCAACAACAATCCGTGTCGTACTCACCATTGCAGCATCGTTAAATTGGGAAATACGGCAACTTGATGTCAACAACGCCTTTCTAAATGGTATCCTACGAGAGAACGTGTATATGCGTCAGCCAGAAGGTTTTGTTGATCAAAAGAAACCCACTCATGTCTGCAAGTTGGTCAAAGCTCTGTATGGGCTGAAGCAGGCTCCGAGGGCCTGGTTTGATCGGTTAAAAATGACCCTTCTCCAATGGGGTTTCAAAAATTCCAAAAGCGACGTTTCCCTCTTCATGCTCCAGACTCGTGGACTTGTTGCCTTCGTCCTAATATATGTAGACGACATTCTAGTCACTGGTAATGACCCTCTGTACTTGAAAAAATTCATTCGGAGATTGAACTCTCTGTTCTCTCTCAAGGATTTAGGTCCAGTGTACTATTTCCTCGGCCTCGAAATTTACAGAGATAGCACTGGTGTTTATCTGGGTCAAGCGAAGTATATCCTTGATATCTTGAAGAGGTTCGACATGCTGGACTGTGCACCAGTTCCCACTCCCATGGTCACGGGCAAACACTTCTCTCAGAATGATGGAGAACCTTTGCACAACCCCACAGTGTATAGACAGGCCATCGGATCTCTACAGTACCTCACGACTACTCGCCCCGACATCGCATATGCTGTTAACAAACTTAGTCAATTTCTGTCCCAACCTCGCACTACTCATCTTCAAGCCGTTAAACGGATATTGCGATATCTCAAGGGAACTTATCGACTCAGCCTTCACCTACGGCCAGTCAAGTCACTTCAGGTGCACACTTATACAGATGCTGACTGGGCCACGGACATTGACGATCGGAAATCCACGGCTGGTCTATGTACGTATTTGGGCGGCACTTTGGTTTCTTGGTCGTCTCGGAAGCAACGAGTTGTGGCAAGGTCGAGCACGGAGTCTGAATATCGAGCTCTGGCCGATGGTGCAGCTGAAGCAAGATGGCTTAACTCGCTTCTGTCTGAGCTTGGTCTGTTTCTCAAACAGCCGTCGGTTATGTGGTGCGACAACCTCAGTGCAAAGGCATTAGCAGCTAACCCAGTTCAGCATGCACGAAGCAAGCACATTGAGATCGACGTTCACTTCATTCGGGATATGGTACTTTCTGGTCTCATCAGTGTTCGCTACATTCCTTCTACACTACAAGTTGCAGACAGCTTAACAAAACCACTGTCGTGTTCTCAGTTCCAGCACTTCAGACGCAAACTCGGGCTAGTTATTACACCCTCTCGTTTGAGGGGGAATGTTAGAGAATAATTAGGAATTACGGTTTATTATGATATTGTATATCTTTGTATATCTTGTACAGTTGTGATTGCCGTATATCTCGCTCCGTTTATCATGCTAACAGATTATAGTTAGCTGATTATTCTCTCCGCTTTGTAACGTTCATCCCTCGGCCAATCTATTAATACAGACCTGGGCATCAGAGTTCTGCATGCCGTCATCTCATTCTCATAGCCTATTTTAATATTAACACCTCAAATTTGTCTGTTAGGAATCTGTTTATAAGAGAACTCGTATTTGTGACCACGAATAAAAGTTGCAGTGCTGATGAATGACGATAGAGGTGATTACTATTCCTCTTATATTAGCGATCACTATCAGAATTAACCCTGGAAAGGACAAAGAATAAAAATGCAGGTAGCACAGTATTCAGTATTGTTCGAGGGAAATGAGGTCGGTGGCATAGTTTGCTAGCAATAAGCATCAGACCGAGAGAGCCCTACATGAATGGTTGAAAAGCCCCCCGCCCGCGGGGGGGGGGGGGGGAACCTCTAGCTACTTGACCCTGGTGATATTATGCAGAACCGTGAATAATAACTTGCACTAAGCATGAAAGTGACGAAACTCCCCGAAACTGGCAAATATTGGTGAATACTACTGGTTGCAGTGTTGTTGTGTCATGGGTGAGATAAACCGGGCCTTCAAAGCCACAAATCTGGTGTTTAAATATCCTTTGACATTATCAAGCCCAAAAGATTCCTTTTTGCAATTTCTTTACACGACTACTGGCAACGTCAACTCAAAATAGACAGTCTACCTCCCACCTAAAGTAGAAGTAAGAAAGCACCCTAACTTTTTTTTTTTTTTTTTGCTATACCGTAAATACGCACAATCACGGTTCTACAATCAGTATCTCTGCACCAATCACATAAAGGAGTCAAACAAAATTGTTTTTCGCTATACCACAGATAAAGAAGACCTTTCTTGCGTGTGATCTCTCGATTTACAGAAGATCCCAATCAAACAACACGAAAAGAACTTGATATTCTCTTCAGATCATCATAATGCCTCTTCCACTGGAGACCTGCAAACAAAGCAACATTAGATTCGATTTTCTTCCTGTGTTTAAGGCCGTCAAGATCTCATGTTGGAAAATTAGTTAAATAGCAGATAAAGTTTAATACCACTGCCAGTCACATTGAACAAGTACAGGCGGTTGCCGGCTGCAGTAGCTGTAATAAGTACATGAGGAGGCTCTAGTTCAAATTGGTAGTATGTTCTTCCTTCATGTTCAGCGACATTGTAACTAAGAACTTTCCCTTCCACATTATCCCCAATCACTTCTGGACCAAACGCATTGATCACTTTTTCTGGAGGGCCTATATTTTCTATTTTAGCATCTTCACCAAGATCTGTTGTAATATGGTATAAAGATTAGAATCTGAAATTATTAATCTTTTCATCAATTTCTTTTCTGTTGTCTCCATAATACTAAAGTGGATTATTGGAAAAAAAAAAAAGGAAGACAAACTCACTATCAGCAAATCTCAGAACAGGAGCAACAACGACAGACAAGCGTCCTTCCCTTGAGCTTCCAAATCTCAAATCTATCTCTGTGCCACCAAGATCTGCTATTGATACTGGTACCTGTGAAGTAGATATAGTACATCAGTTGTCAGAATTAAGCAAGCAGAAGACAAAGATGATTAGTTAAGGTTCCAAGCTGATAACAAGTATTTCTTTAAAAACATAGCACTGGAGCATTTTAGACAAGTTAGCATCTCGTATTCTCGTTATTAACTCCTTCAGAATTTTATAGAAAAACCTGACTGCAAATACCCAAGAATCAGACTTAAGTTTTTCAAGATAAAGAAAGGGTATGGCCATAGCGTAATAAGATCAAATTAAGCTGGCATCATTTCGAAAGAGCACTTATCTCATAGGCTCTTGTACTCCTAGATCGTTTGAAGTATTTTACTATTGTAACGTCAAGAGAGACAGAAACATAGTGGCTCGCACATATGAACCCATAAAAGTGGAACCTACCATTTTCTTCTTATCTCTCCGTACCACCTCATGAAATATTTCCGGGGATCCAAATTGGATTTTTAAAGGCTAAGTACCATATGAGACATGATAGAATTATAGTGCACATTTCCCACATTAAATGTCAGGGCTTATTAATTATCACCTCTTCCCAATCTTGAGGTACCGAGAACGTGTAAGGGATGATAGGACTCCATCCAACTCCATGTCCTCCAGACTTTTCATCTGGCCTGCGATACGTCCTCCAACCTGTCTGATCAAATACTTGCCTACAGTACGTCACTTTCACTTAAAAGCTATGATAATAATACAAGAAAACTGACGCTAGAACTGTAAAACGTATAAAAACACATCTTGGATCAAGGAAATTGGAACTTAAAGACATTTCCTTCGTGGTCAAAGTCAATGCTTTAATCATTCAAACACTTCCTTCCATCATGGGTTCCATTTGAAACTTTGGACTTTTTTTTGTTCTTGTTTTAGATTCATTTCTCCATTTGGACTTCAAAAAAAGATCTAATGAAGTACAGAAAAGAATTGATAGACTGGTCAGACCTCTTCAAATAAACACTATTTCCGACTTTTGTTTTATGCCAATAGTCAATAGCAAGGGACTATATATTCAAGGAAAAGGAAGGGTAAAAACCTTGTTCATCAGGCTCGGATAGACCAGGGATCCTTCCTGCTAGCAGACCTTGTTTCACCGCCGCTAAACTGTCTCTCGGAAAACCCAGTACGGAAACCGCAGAAGCCAAAATTGTTCTTCTGTTCAACAGTAAAGTTGAACGCTCCTCATTTTCTCCGTTAACAAAGTCAGCTCCTCTCAAACCCGAAGCAACTCTAGTTCTTAGAGTTTCATTTTCTGATAAAGAGCAACACATTGAATGTGAAGGAGGGGCTAGCACATGCTTGGAATTACTCCAAGAAAATCCACAGTTTATAAACATAACTGTTGCCATTCTCGGGGATGAGTTGGATGAGTACTGATTAAGGATGCGGGAGAAGCAGCATAATTATAAGCAGAGAGGAAGAATGATGCAGAAGCCCACATCTCCAACGCTAGAAATTTTGTGGACGTGCTCATCTTGTGCCTGGGGACCTCGAATCCTCGTTCGCTTCTTCTGCTGACAAGTTCCCTTTGGCTCACACGTGGCGATTTATATTCCGGGTTTACCCTTTTATCTTTTTGCGCCGCGCTCAACAAAGCCACGAAAGTTGGGGAAATAAAACACGACACCACGGCGCCGAAGCCGTGAAAAATAAATCAAGTGATCACGATCACCCCAAGCTTCATTTAATATAAAAAACGGATTTTTTTTGGCCGCTTATTATTTTTACAGGAAAAATTACTCATAAGTCCTAGTATGAAATTTGGCAGCTCATTATTTTCATAGAAAAAATTACTCATAAGTCCAAGTATGAAAGTTAAACATAAGTAAGTTTCAAAAATATAATATTTACAAGTTAAAGGTTAAATTAAACTATTTGTATTCATAGGTCAAATTTTTACATTTGCAAGTTAAATTTATAAAATATAAAATTTGCTAGAACTTTTCCGTGGGGCCAAAAAGGGATAAAATCATTCCGTTCCCCATGGATTGCACTGCATTAGCATTTTCTCCAAAAGCAACGTGGAAGCATTTATGATGTAATTGGGCCTCGAGGCCTCCTTTGTGCAAAACAAAACAAGTGGATTAATATCTCTAGAACAGAGATAATGAGGCGGCATAAACGGGAGGGAGGGGCAAGATCATTTGTTGTTTGCTGTTAATTTTAATTTCATTTTCAATTTAATTCTAAATATAAATTATAATTTATTTTGTTTTTAATATTTATTCGTTTCATCTTTAAGTAATTAATTCCCATAGTGATTGTATGTGTTAATGAGTTACTATCAATTCATAATTTAAATATATATAATTAATAAAAATATTTAAAAAAGATAATATTTATTTATTACGAATAATTAATTTAACTAACTTCTTTATTATTTCCAAATTAGTCAATTACATTAAGTTTTTTTCCCAGAGGTGATCATTGTTTGAATCCGCTTGAAAAAAGCAATTTTGCACCCCACCAAAATAAAATCCCTTGTTCATACTCGCCTGTCACGTCCACCGCCTCTGCGCCCCAACCCTCGTCCAAAATGGATTTCAATAAACATTTTTAAGGAAACGAAGTTATTTGAGGGCAGATTATACATTACACGAACAATTCATCATTCAACTGTAACTTGTACCCCAAAAAAAAAAAATTGAATGCTTCAGAACATGGAATATGTAAGCTTAAGGTATCTCCCGGCTAATCAAGGCAAAGGGACCGGGAGACCCCATTTGGAAAATTCAACCAAGTTCCTATTTACAATGGATCCATTGTGCAACCAGAACGTTTCAGCTGACTGATGAAATTGCCTCACTTTTCTCTGCAGTTCCCACATTATTCCACGCATTGCCGAGCAGGGTGCCGAATCTGAAGCATACACCCATAAGCACCTTACTTGTCTTCCTCGAGCTATTATTGCTTCTATATCTTCATCTGAAAAACGGGTTACAAGTTATATAGCTGTAAGATGCCGGAAGGACATGGTAAGTAAATCAAGAGGCAAATGGCACATATTAGTTTTGACCTGGTATTGATTCCAGATACTGCAATAGCTCCGCGCCTATTCGATTGGAAGGCCATTTTATTGATATCTGACTGTAATCAATGACATTCTGGAAAGGCAGTTCTACTTGATCGGATAATATAATGGGGACACATTCCTGTTAAGCAAATTATCACTATTTTCATTTCTTTCAAGCAAAGCCCATTCTGGGCAAAAACACCAAACCGAACAGATCCACACAGATGGAGAGAGAAACAGACCACAAAATAAGACTCATAAAAGCGAAGGGTCCAAGATGACTCCCCCCGTGGAGCAAGGCAGAACTTTGCATTGCGCAAATGTTCAAAATATTCTTTCCTTCCCAATTTGTCGGGTCCACTGAATTTCAAATCTGGACATTCCAACTGTTCATTACATCAATACATTATACATGCTGCATAATATCACAATGAAGATTTAACGGAGCCTGAAGTAGCACGTTCACAAAAAAAAAAGAAAAGAAAAAGCAGTACAAACAGACATTAGAGACAAAAGTTCACCATGTGTTTTGAGTGCATTTAAGTGGAATCAACAGATAATTAAGCTAGAGATTGCTCAAAAGACGACATGCAGAAGTACGATCACATTGAGGCACCTAATGAACATTAACAATCGGTGTATCCATGTAAGTGGCAGTTGGCATTTCTCCCACCACATGGTGTTGGCCCCCATTTACTAAATGTAAGCAAATTTTGTCAATCAATGAAATTCCACAGTGAATGAGACACAATGCTCGAAAATAGCCTACTGTTAAGATGAGTTTGGCAAGAGTTACCAAGTCATAGAAGATGGCGTACCTTGTCTGGAAATTGCTTTGCAAGCTGTATCAGCTGAAGGCGACCCAATTTTCCTTGTGCACGTCCCAAATAATTTGCCAAGTACTTCCGCTTTGACAAAGGCAGTGGCTGGACCACTGGAGCATCAGTTTTAGTCATACCATCATCAATATTGCCAGGAATAATGATGTCTTTCCACGTATTAAAGGCACTTGTATCTCTCTTATCAGTCCGATCACCCTATGTTGCCATGTCCAATAACAGGTTTATAGTTAAAAAACTTCCATACGGACCTCATGCATCTGTCTATTATTGATTTTTGCACGCAGACAACTGACCTCCACATGTAATCATATTATTTTTCAGGCATGTTTAGATTGACCCTTAAATCACATGTAGATGCATTCGCAACATGGCAGTAAAAAAGTCTAAACATGGCTCCATAGAATGATCATGGTAATGGAGTGATAATGCATACAAATATGAGAATTATAATTTTAGAACGGTAAAAAAGAAAGGGGGCAGGATTATGAATTAACTTTTAGGATTCCTTCAGTTGCATAGAATACCATAATCAATATGTTTGATCCCTGACAATTAATTATGGTCTAGCAGCATGCCAACAAAAGATGTAATTTGCCCTTTACTTCTTAATCGCCCTAAAAGGTAACCTTGACGAATTTTCCAGCAGCAATAAAGAATAGCATCGTAATGTATAGTCAATTTTCCTGGTTTGTTCCAAAACTATAATCACAAATCAGGAAAACTCAATTAATGAAAGGCAGGTAGGTTCTGAGGAACTTAACATATTTTACGCAAACTTTATTTGAGAAGAACCACCTTAAAAAGAATAAAATTAATGACATGCATGTTTAATGCTTCATACAAGTTTAAACCTTTTTTCCTGATAGTGTCACTATAAACACGCTAAAAAAAAAACAGAATAAATAATTTCATTTATTGTCAATGGCTCTTGTGATGTATTCCTGTATCATATTTCATACCATATTCTGTCCAAGTATTATGTGAGTGGGTATATCCACGTATTCCTTAGTTTGTTCTCCATAAGAAATAATTTCATCTTCCAGCTTGTCGAAGTCAAAGACAAAAGTTTGATCCTCATATGCTAATTTTAGTAGTTAAAGTATGCCAAGTTTATAAGCTTCATGACAAGAAATAAGTGCACCTCCGGAGTAAGAATAATAGAGCGATTTATATATGTTGCCCAAGATTTGAACAAATGAGCTCCTGCCCCACTGCAGATCAGAAAATTCAAAGTTATGCGTTAGAAAGCAATGTGGAACCAAACACCTTGAAAAGAGAAATTATCAGATACAATTTATTTGAGCTGATTGTCATAGGGTATGTTTAAATCATTAAGATCCATATTCACAAGCAGATGGACCTGTCAACAAAGTTTGCAGAACCCTTTCAACAGCTATCTGGTGGACTATATGAAGTTAAGATGCTTTGGTTACTAGGAATTCTTCAAGCCTATTGGAACACCAAAATTTTCCTCTGCCAAAAGTCCACTGGAAAAAACTTTCTCGAAAGTTAATCTTTTCTGTCAAAGTACCATGCCATGTAATAGCTTACATGTGCCTTTGTGGTTTATTACAATTGGGGGGAAGGGTGGAGGCTCATGCATATAAAACTGTAGAACAAAACCGTTTAGTGTATGTTGATATCACAAGGAAGAGTACGCCAGTGAAGTCATTAGCATACCGACGAGTGTGGGGTCAAGCAAATGGAAAAAGAAACTCTGGGAGAAAGATCAATTCAATGATCCCACGCTTGTTCAAGCATTCGTAGCTTCAAATTCTCATAAACAATACCCCCTCCAAACCCTTTTATAAGGAACAAATAACTGCTTTACACAGATAACCGGAAATAAATATGTTAAGGTTACCTGGGGAAAACAAATATGTGGTTACGACCTCCAGATAACCGAAAATACGGCATTTGGCTTAACACCTAAGCCAAAAAGAAAAAGAGTTCGCCTTAGTCCTGTGCATATGAACAAAAGCACACCCTACTTCAAACAAGGAAATGAAGAACTACTTTGACATAAGTCTGGTTAATTTCTTTATCATTCAGACCACTCATCATTCGAACACATTTAACATATGATGGGACGAAGAATAAATCCGCTTCCTCCTTCTTCTCCGTTCGATATTTTGATTGTTGGAAAAACTTGTGTATTTTGACCTACAGTCAATATAGCCATCAGAGAACTCAGAAATTCAAGCAAAACGCCATTTAAACAGAGCAAAATGGAAATTAGCTAAAAATTTTAAGGCCAAGTAGATACGACAATAAAGTTCTCCAATGGCATGAAACATGCAATGACAATATAAAGTTTGCATTCATTAATATTGTCAGCTGGCTGGCAGTCCTCAAGTTTCAGCCAGGATAGACTCGCACTGAACTTTGAGCTTATACATCCATATATCACTGCGAGGATCTATGGAATAAGTGCAGTTGAATCAATCGCATGTCGCGTTATGTCCAGAGATCCATACAATTCACATACTTTAGGGCATTCTGTTTTCCAGAGTATAAGGAGCTCAAGTAACTAGCAATTTCAAGGCAGTTGAAGTATGAGCACACCTTCGATTCTAAACGCCAAGCCCCGCTTAAATAAAAATCATGGGCAACACGTATATTTAGCAGAATCTAATTTATTAAACTACAGTTGCCCAATTACAGAAACAAGGAATAACCTGAGTTCCCCACTGGCCTTTCAAACAGGCATTCTCGGTGATTTTGCCTTGCCTTCCATACATCAAGACCTTCAAACCGTCGATCTCCTCCACATCGTAGACGTAGATCTTAAGGGAGAGCTGAGACCCATACCCACTCTCCGGCCAAGTGTAGGGTCCACCTGGCACTAAGTCGAGCGACGTCCGCACTTGATCAACGGAGAAGCTACATGGAGCAAAGGAATGATCGAAGAGCCTGGTGAAGAAGAAGGTGGCAACGACAAGGAATAGAGCTCCAATCTGGTGCGTTCGAGTGCAGATAAACTGATGGGAATGAGGTGCCAATGGTCTCAATTTGTGAGTGCCACTAGCCATTTCTGATATCTGAAGCAATGGATGGTGCTGCTATGAATTTTCGGTGGAGCTCATCCCCGATGAGGACATAGTGGCGAAAAACGCACCGTTTGCCTTCCAGAGCTCGCCGCAGGGCGGGACCGTCGAGAAGCCTGACCCGCCAACGGAGGGGAGAAGAGGACATCTTGTATGGGCTAAAACGCTAGGTTGGCCCGCGGTGAATAGAAACGTGGGCTGAGGGGGCGATCCTTTCCTCACTATAATCGAATAATAACCACCATAACCTTTCAGAGCTTAAATTTAAATATGGGCGAATTACAAGTCCTATGAAAAAAAATATATAAAACAAATTTCAGAAGTTGTGATTTTTTATTTTAAAATTTGTTATTACAAACTATTTAAGTTATTATTGAGATGTTTTAGTAATTTTTTTTTTGAGATTGCATTTTAATTCTCCTTTTAAATAAATTGTCAACCTAGTGTGAAATAGTTTTATGATCCAAGTGGAAGTGCATGTTTCATCTCTGCGATGAACGTGATGTGATGATATTTGAGTTTTGTTTTAATATAGTCTCAATTTACAGGTTAATCTTCTAATGTTGTCTTTGAGGTGTTTGGTTTATCCTAATAACACTAAAAAATACGCACATAAGTTGAGATAAAACCTTTTTTATTTATTTTATGAGTTATAGAATTATTTTTAAAAATACTAGTCCAGACACTTTTTTTTCATCTTTTGCAACACATACCATGTGGAAGACAAGAATGTTGGAAAATTACATCATTCATATATCTAAGGTTATGTTAAGCGTACATCGATGCTCCTAAGCTACGTGACTAGTTAAAAATCACTTAAAAGTTTTTATTACCTGGACTGGCTTGAGAATTACATAAAAACAGTCCTTGCCCTGCGCCTCATACAATGTCATCACCAGAATTGCAAAGCATCGTTTTTAAAATCTGATGGCAGTGGATACTTTTACTACAAGACTCAAAGGCTTTGAACACAGCAGCACGCTGAACATCCTCAAGGTAACCGCGACTCTTTATCCAAGGGAGGGTCTCTTGAAAACTGCAGTGGACAATTCTAAGATTTTCGTTTAATGTGCGGAGGGGCCGAGGAAACTAAAAAGGTTTTTGGTAACCTTGAAAAGTGTTTCTTAGAAGCACTTTTTCATAAAACGAGATAAACTTTTTCACATATTTACTTCGTAATCTGTAAAAACACTTTTCAAACTATGGTTTAGGGAGTGTTTGGGTGGAAACCAAACCATGGTTTCAGAAGTGATTTTACAGTCTATGAGATAAATATTTAGAAGAATTTATCTCGATTTGTGAAAAAGTGCTTCTCACTTTTCAGGGTATCCAAACACCCTTTTAGTTTCCATCCAAACACTTTTAAAATTGGAACGCGTACGAGCATATTTCTCCCTTGGCAGCGCATATTTGGAGAGTGAGTAATAATTGATGTAACGCGGGAAAACAAGTCTCTATGAAAATTGGCATTAGAAGCTCGCATCAGCATATAATAGCCTGGAGAAGAGATGTGATGATTTTGAGTTGACTGTTGAAGACATGCTTCCCTTTCGCTTTCAATGATGAGTCTGTGACCAGTTTGTGGGAGGAAGAAAAAAATGACGCTAGTTGGTACTTAATTTAGCTTATTTTAATTTGAGCTGAAATTATACATATTCTTAGACATTTATAGTTAAATTGACGTCCTTTAGACAAATTATGCACTTAAAATCATTTTTTAATCCTTGCTTTGGCAGAGTTTTACCACTTAGAATGCCATGATTTTTGGTTAAAAAGAAAGAAAGAAAGAAGAATGACTGATTCACTTCGGATGAACTAGAGGAGTTAAAAAAAAAAAGAGTACTAATTCATTACTTACTGCTCCTGAATACGAGCATGGAACTTGAAAGTTGGAACACAATTTTAGAAACAATCTACGCCAGTCCTTCAAAATAAACGTAACCTCGTCTTGATCCTTTCATGTAGTTTTCTAGCAAAAGAACCACAAATGTCATTTATATGACTTTTGCAAAAAAAGAACTAAGAAATACAAAAAACCCACTCAACTTTTTTCGAGATAAATAATACTTTTCCGATTTTTAATATAGGACCTAATTATTAAATTAATTTTGGTTCTAAATATAATATTTATTTATCATATTTATAAATTTTTCTAAATTATCTTTATGGATATTTCCTCATCTATAACGAATAGAAGAGGGTGGAGGATATTAAGGAAGATAATTATGGTGTTTTAGAAAAAATATGTTATATTTTTTTATAATTAACTAACTTACATAACTTTCTTAATCTAATCAAATTAGTTAAATAGATTTTATATTAAAGATTGATGGAGTAGTTTTATAAATATACATTGGAAGAAATAATATATTGGAATTTTTATAAGAAGAATACGAGTTCAGTTTATCTGGATCCTCAATTATTCAGAAAAATAGCTATGAATTAACCGTGGCAACAATATACGTTTAACATATATTTTAATATTCTGTGCAACAACATAGACAGAATATTAATTTTTTTAGGAAAAATTAGGGATAATTCCCTCATTGAAAATTTAATTGGCAAATATGACCTGAAATGATTGATTGCATGAAAGAATATTAGTTACACATAGAGGAAAGTTAATTGCACAAAAAGAAGATAGTTTGCACATAACATTATTTAGATATAAAGAATTAGTTTGCATATAAAAAAATCTCATTTGTAGAAAAGAAATTGAGTTGCACATCACGTAAAGGAAGATCATTACACACAAACGAAGATAAATTGCATATAAAAGAAATTAAGTTGCACAAACTTTTTAAGTCCCATTTATCAATGAAATTTTTGACGGGGAATTTATCTCCAATTTTTTTAAAATAAAATTATCAAATATATTAATAAAATATCAAGACAACATAAAAAAATTAATGTGAGATTTCTGGCTTAAAATAGAAAATGCAGTACAGGGATATTCATATAACGTTGAGACAAATGAATTCGTCTCCTGTAAGCTATAACTAATAGCAGTATATATTTCTCGGAAAATAAAATCTACGCATCTGCTTGCCGCACTCGCCCGATTCAACAGTCTCAGTTCCATTCAGCTTAGGGCCTGTTTGGTTTGAGAGGAGGGAGGGGGAGGAGAGGGGAGGGGAGGTTTCATCCTCACCTTGTTTGGTTTGATTAAAAAGGAGGGGAGGGGATGGTATTTAATGATCCCTTGTTTGGTTCAAGGAGGGGAGGGGAGGGATAGTAATAATCAATTTACCATTTTACCCTTATATATTAGTTTATATTTTTTATTGATATATTATATAAATTAATTTACATCTTAATTTAAATTATATAATTTAATCAAAATTCAGTCTTATCATGTTAATATGTGTATTAAAAAATTGGTATAGTAATTTTTCATTCTAATTAATATAATAATATATTTAAAATAATCAAATTAACAAATTTTATATGCTCTAAGAAAAATAAAATTTTATTTTCTTTAGGCTATCTTTTTTTCCAGCTTTAAAATATATTTAATAAATAATATATTTATAAAAAACAATTAATTTTATAATATTATAATTTTTTATTTAAATAATTTTTATTTTTAAATAATTTTTATAATATATTTTTAATTATAATAATGTATATATTTTTTATTTTTTTTACTTAGGATAATATATTTTTTATTTGAAATAAATATTATAATAATATATTTTATGGGTAGAAGTGAAATATTAAAAAAATCATAAGGGCATAATGATCCAAAATTTTGACTCCCCTCCAAAAACCCCCAATTTGGAGGGGAGCCAAAATGAGGGGAGGGGAGGGGACATTTTAACTCCCCTCCCCTTCAAAATTTTTAACCAAATGAGGGGTAGGGTGTGTTTGGTATGAGGGATTTGGAAGGGAGGGGAGGGATTTTAATCATTTTCCCTTGTTTGGCAACACACAAATTTTAGGAGGGGAGGGAAAATTTTTTAAAATTTCCCCTCCCCTCCTCAACCTCCCCTCCAAAATTGGGAGGATTTGGAGGGAAAAGACAATATTTTGTCATATTATAACCATTATGTTCATATTTTGTCATGTTGTGACCATTATGTTTATATTTTGTCATGTTGTGACTATTATGCCCACGCCTTAAATAAAATAAGAGCAAAATTGTCCATATTAAAATATTTTTCCCTCCCCTCCCCTCTTTTTTTATAAATCCAAATAAGGTGATATTAAAATCCTTCCACTCCCCTCCCCTCCCCTTCCCTCCATTAAAATCCCTCCCCTCCCCTTCCTCTCATTGAGCCAAACATACCCTCAGGGTTTGTGATATTCAACACCCTTTGTTAAAATCGCAGAATCCAGACGTTCATAGTAGTATATATTTCTCGGAAAATAAAATCTACATATCTCGCTTGCCGACTCGCCCGATTCAACATTCTCAGTTCCATTTAGCTTAGGGTTTGTGATATTCAACAACCTTTGTTAAAATCGCAGAATCCCGACGTTCATGGTTTGTGCACTTGCATAGAAGGTCCGTGAGACGCATTCGGCTTCGTCATGCGTCACCGAGGGATGGATCCCGATGAGGAGGAGTATGAGGAGGAATACGAAGATGACCAAGTGGTTGATGACGATGAAGCGGAAGTGGAGGAAGAGGAGGCCCACAGAGGAGCCTCCTCCAGGAAGCGCAGAAGATCTGGGTTCATAGACGACGACGCTGAGGAGGTGGACGAGGATGAGGAAGAGGAGGAGGATGATGATGATTTTGATGAAAGAGGCGGTCGAAAGCGCCAATACAAGAGAATGGCTGCTTCCAATTTCTTCGATGAAGAGGCGCAGGTGGACAGCGATGAGGAAGAGGAAGAGGAAGAAGGCGAGGATGGTAAGCTTTTCCTGCATATCTTATTGGCTCAATTTGAATACTAGACAGTAATCTTACTTATTCTGCAATTGACTGAAATTGCTTCCTGCTGAGGGGTAACCATCTATTCGGAGCTCATGTGTGATTTAGTCCTTCACGTTTATGTGATTGGGGTCGGGCATGTACATTCTCCAGGATGAAATAATGTGGACTTTCGTTGAGCAGAATGCTGTGAATGGCTTGAACTTTCTGTTTTTCTCGTTTGACATGTCATATGTTACTACTAGAGTTTTGAAATTAC